AGTCCGGCTGTGTGCTGACAGCTCGGAATCTGGAGCCTGCTTTGGATTCTGTGTCTCCCTCTCTCTCTGGCTCCTCCCTACCCCCCAGCTGATGGTCTGCCTCTCTCTCAAAAATAAACATTAAGAATTTTTAAAAAGAATAATAATAATAGGGGCTGGGTGGCTCAGTTGGTTAAGCATCCGATTCTTGATTTTAGCTTAGGCCATGATCTCATGGTTTGTGAATTCGAGCCCCACGAATGGTGGGGGTTTTCTCTCCCCTGCTCTTTCTCCAAATAAATGTATTTTTAACATTTGTTTATTTTTGAGAGAGAGAGAACATGAGCAGGGGAGGGGCAGAGAGAGAGAGGGAGACACAGAATCTGAAGTAGGCTCCAGGCTCTAAGCTGTCAGCATGGAGCCCGACACGGGGCTTGAACCCATGAACCACGAGATCAAGACCTGAGCTGAAGTCAGATGCTTAACCAACTGAGCCACCCAGGCGCCCCTTTTAAAAAATAATAAAAGACTAGGGGGAGCCACATAAGTGTTTGTGTTTCAAGGGCCTCCAGGAGCAGCCCTCAGTTGGAAGAATTACTAGAAAGAATCGTGGGATTTAGCTTATCAGCATCCCCACAGCTAAGGTTTATCATGGTGGTGTGGTAAGGATGGACCACGGGGCACAAAGACCCAGGCAGCATCTGGAGGAATCCAGGCACAGGCTTCCTTATGCTTTCCCTCCCCCTGTAGGTGGGGCACAGGGGTGCACGGGCACCTGGCTCCCAGGGTCCCAAACAGATCAGGCTTGATCACTTGCTGACCAAATCGAAAGCCAGAGAAATGAGTTGGGAGACAAGGAATGGATGTCAGTGAGGCCAGCATGGCAGGAAGATAGCGTCTCCAGGTGTCTCCAAAGTGCTGAAATCATGTTCGGGTTTGTATAAGGAAAATGTGGACCAGAGAGGTGGGTACGTGCAGGTTGGCAGTGAAGGTCAGATTGATGGCACTGCACGGGGTCTTGCTAGCTGGGGGCAGTCCTTATGCTTGAGGGGCTAGTTTTCTGTTTCCACCTGATGATGCTTTGCCTGCAGGGCCTTCTGCCTGAGTAAGAGATAAGCTAGAAAGGAGATCCTAATTAGAAAGTACAGACAGAGGTCAGAAGGGAGGTGGTTGATTTCCTCTTTCACCCTGAGGGGTCGCTCAGAGCTCACACTTTCCCCAGCAAGGAAAATGTGGTGGCAAATGTGCAAAGTCTCTGCCCAGGGAAGGCCACTAGAGACAGCACCCAAGGTTTTGACTGGACACTGCCTGGCTCATACCCACATCCCAGACCCGCAGAGAGAAAGCATGCATTTGTTTAATAGCATAAACCACATTGTTTGCTCTGACAGTCTAGAAGCCCTGAGCCACCCTTACCAGTTAACTGTTGGCTAGAAATGCTCTGATTACCCGCATGCCAGTCAAGGACCAAGTCTACCAATAGCCTTCTAAGGATGGTGGTATCAGGCCCGCTGTGTTGATCCCATGAGGCAGGGCCAAGGCAGTGTGAAGTAGGGTCTTCTTTTTTTTTTTTTTCTGAGAGAGAGAGAGAGAGAGAGAGACTGCATGAGCAGGGGAGGGTCAGAGAGAGAGGGAGACACAGAATCTGAAGACAGACTCCAGGCTCTGAGCTGTCAGCACAGAGCCCGACGCGGGGCTCGAACCCACGAACCATGAGATCATGACCTGAGCCGAAGTTGGACGCTTAACTGACTGAGCCACCAAGGTGCCCCTCAATTTTTATTATAAAATAAGTCATTTAAATAGAATATGTGTATATTTCCTCAAATTGAGACATTTATTTTGTTTATGTCTTTTTTTCACACTTTTAAAAAAAAATTTTTTTTTAATGTTTTATTTATTTCTGAGAGAGAGAGCATGAGCGGGGTGGGGGTCAGAGAGAGAGGGAGTTACAGACTGAAACAGGCTCCAGGCTCTGAGCTGGCAGTCAGCACAGAGCCCGACGCGGGGCCCGAACCCACGAACCGCAAGATCATGACCTAAGCGAAAGTCGGACACCCAACCGACTAAGCCACCCAGGCGCCCCTCACACTTTTTTTTTTAAAGCAAATTCCAGCCTGTGGCTTGAACTCAGAACCCCAAGATCAAGAGCCGCATGCCCTACTGACTGAGCCAGCCAGGTGCCCCTGAGACATTCATTTTGTAAATGAAAAAAAATACTCTTTGTCACATGGCATAAGTATCCATTTGTCTTTTGGCCCTCCAAGAAAATAGAGGTCTTGGGCAAAGTGGCTCAAATTCCAGCCAAGTAGTGGGACAGATGTAATACTAAAGAGATAATTAGGTTTGAAAAGCTAATGTCTCATTAAAATACAGCTTTGTTTGGCTTGTTTGGTTGGGTTCTTTTGGTTTAGTTCCCAGCAAGTAAAATACAGACAACTCTACAACTCTTATTCCTTTAGAAGAAAATTGTCTATATTTTCTTAAGAAATATGGTAAGAGAGGCACCTGGGTGGCTCAGTCGGTTGAGCATCCGACTTCGGCTCAGGTCATGATCTCCTTGTTCATGAGTTCAAGCCCCTCATCGGGCTCTGTGCTGACAGCTCAGAGCCTGGAGCCTGCTTCAGATTTTGTGTCTTCCTCACTCTCTGCCCCTCCCCTGCTCACGCTCTGTCTCTCAAAAAATGAATTAAAAAGTTAAAAAAAGAAATATGGAAACCTATTCCATGGAAATAACTCTGACTCTTAAAATTTTGTGATTTCTTTTTTGTTTCTTTAAACAGAATTAAATTACTTTATTGAATTAAAAAGTAGACTTATTTTTATATATTAAAAATATATACTTTTATGTTTTTTTAAGTTTATTTATTTTGAGAGAGAGACAGAGTGAGTGGTGGAGGGGTAGAGAAGGAGAGAGAGAATTCTGTCGAACATAGGGGTCCAACTCACAAACTGTGAGTTCATGACCTGAGCTGAAACCAAGAGTCTGACACTTAACCAACCGAGCCACCCAGGTGTCGCTCTAGAAGAATAGACTTTAGGGGCACCTGCCTGGCCCAGTTGGTTAAGCGTCCGACTTCGGCTCAGGTCATGATCTCATGGTCCGTGGGTTCAAGCCCTGCGTCGGGCTCTGTGCCGACAGCTCAGAGCCTGGAGCTTCTTTGGATTCTGTGTCTCCCTCTCTCTCTGACCCTCCCCTGCTCACGCTGTCTCTCTCACTCAGAAATAAAAACATTTTAAAAAATTGAAAAATAGACCTGAATTTTTAGCGCAGTTTGCGTTCAGAGCAGAACTGAGAGGTAGGTACAGAGATTTCCCCAAACCGCACCCCCACTCACGCCTCATCTCTCCCACCATCAGCACTGCCCCTGGGAGAGGCACGTTAGCTACAGTCGATGAACCACCAGTGACACATCGTCATCCGGAGTCAGCTGTTTACAGCAGGGTTCACCCTGGTGTACATTCTGTGGGTTTGGACAAGCATATGATGACCTGTATCCGCCGGCGGAGGGTCGCACGGAGCAGTTTCCCTGCCCCCAAAGCCCTGCTGCCTTTCTCCAGTTCATCCTTCCCTCCCTGCCAACCACTGATCTTTTTCCCATTTCCATACTTCTGCCTTTTCCAGAATATCATGTGGTTGGAATCATACAGTCTGTAGCCTTTTCATTATTGGCTTCTTTGATTTAGTGAGATGCATTTAAGATTCCTCCATGTCTTTTCATGGCTTGATAGCTCACTTCTTCTTAGCGCTGAATAATATTTCCTTGTCTAGGTTGTTAAAAAGAAGACAAGGCCAGGCCCCAAATTAATTCGTTTATGCTAAGTCTCAAGTCCCCTTCACCATTACTGGTTCGGTTTTCCCAGAAAGGGAATCTTAAGCCAGTTGATCAGGAATTGCCTGATGGGCCCCTTCAATCCCCTAAAGGAAAATAACCTTGCAATAACCAACTTGCCTTTTTTTTTTTTTTTGCCTGGTTTAAGTCCCTTGTTGTGCTTCCTTCTGCCTATGAAAGTCTTTCATCTTATACAGCTCCTTGGAGTTCCTTTCTGTCTGCTAGCTGGGTTTAAACAGATTTTTGTCAAACTCTTAACAAGTTTAATATGCCTCAGTCTATCCTTCAACAGGGTGTACACACCTTATCCATTTCAATTGCTTCTAGGTTTTGAGAGTCATGAAGATAGCTTCTGCAAACATTCCTGTAGAGGTTTCTGTATGGACTTAAGTCTTCAACTCCTTCGGTAAAGCCCAACAAGCAAAACTGCTGGATTGTACGGCAAAGGGTATGTTAGTTTTGTAAGAAACTGACAAACTGTCTTCCAAAGTGGAAGTGCTTCCCCTCAGCAATGAAGGAAATTTCCTGTTGCTCTCACATCCTCACCAGCATTTGGTATTGTGGGTTTTGCCATTTTATTAGGCGTGTGCCAATACCTCATTGTTGCTTTATGTTTCCCCGATGATGTAGTATGTAGAGCATTCCTCTGTCCCCTTCTTTGGTGAAGTGTCTGTTAAGGTCTTTGGTTTTTTTGTATATTTTGAACACAGTCGTTTAGCAGGTGTATCTTTTGCAAATATTTTCTCCCAATGTCTGTGGCTTATCTTATTATTCTCTTGAGTGTGGTTTCTTCTTGTTGATTCCTGATATATTACATTTTAATACCAGGGAGTATGTTTCTGTTAATTTGGTACGCCAAGACACAATAGCTTTCAAACTATGGCTTTCACAGTGGCTTTCAAACTTTGATTTTCAGCTTTGTATACAAATAGTCTGAATAATCTGTGAGCACTCGTGCTCATCTGGTTGATTGCTGGTTTTCTGAGCTGCTGTTAAATCTGGAAGGTTTGATGTTTTTAGCAGGAGTAGTTCTGCCCTAATTCTGCGTGAAGTGAGACAGATAATTTAAAGGAAAAAAACCTGATTGCCATTTTAGAGACATCACATCCAAGAGACTCGTTTGGGAAAAAAATTTTTTTTTTTACTGTATTTCAATTCTTGGGTCCTCTTCTTTTCTTCCTTAAAATGTTGCCAGATATCTCCAATTCTTCCATCTTCTTTGTTTATGTTCTAGCTTGTCTGACTATTTTTTTTTCTTTCTATTTTACATTTTAAAAGGGATCTTTGGGGATAATTGTCACATGAGCTGAAAGCAAAGTCTTTTGATGACTCATCTAGTAGACACTGTGAGAACATTTTGAGAAAAAAGCAGATGATTTTTTTCTCTCCTTCTTTTATGTTGTTACAACTATTCAAATAACAGAAGAGTACAGCAAATGTTGACAGCTGGCATGTTGGGTAAGTAGTCTGTCGAATTGATGGGACTCTCAGAGGAAGCCATGCGAGGGGATCTGAGCTCACTCTCCTCCTGGAGGTGGCTGGACCCAAAGCTACACTGTGTGTGTTTTATTCTGCGCGTAATGATTTGTTTTGCACCCGGAACTTGCTTTCGTCTGAAGGTTGTCGTGGGGCATCCCAGTTGGATGGCGGCCGGGTGGTGAAAGAATTCCCCCAAGGCAGAACAAAAGAGATAGAAGCTTATTGAATACACTGCTAGGGAGCAGTGAGCAGGACAGCAGGGAGATTGTCTGCTATGAGGCAGTGGTAAGGGGCTATAGTGAGGGAGTAAGGTAGGGGCGGGGCAGGGGTGGGGAGTGGGGAGATGTATGGAATTTTCCCTTTTTGGTAATCTTAGGAACTGTGCCTGGTTGTGATTGCCCATTGGTCAGTTACAGCCTGTGGCTTAATGAGCATTTTTGCATCAGCTCGGTGGTCACTGTGGGGCATTTTGCTTCGTTCAGGTTTCCAGTGCTCAAGCCTGTTGCTTAAAAGCGGCCTCTACAGTCATCACCTTGGCACCAGCAAAGCCTCTGACATTGTTACGGAATCTGGTCTTGATCACCCGGTGGAAGAACCAAGCCGCACTCGGAGATCTTGGAAGGCAGGAGGTTTATTTTACACCAGTGGGCTGAGGGGAGATCATTCTCCAGAGGTCTGAGTCCAGAGCACCAGCAGAGGGAACAGTTTATAGCCTGTGACTTCTGCCTTCCTCATGAATGTGGGTGACAAGCAGGGTGGGAAGAAGAACCTGGAAAGGGGAGTCTTTGATCAGGGACAGGTATTTCCTTATCAGTCGTGTTGGCCGTCGTATAATGGATTTTTCCCTATCAACAAAGCCACCATTTTGGCCTGTCTCATTACTTTGCAGGACAGGGTGCGCTGTGTTTGGTGTACAGTCTGTTTCCTTCCTGAGGAGATCAGCTTCATCCTTTAATCTCTTTCTAGATCCATGTAATCATTGAACGTGAAAGTGTAAATAGTGAAAGCATAAATGGGCCAACGCAGGGCATGATCATTTGCATCAATTCATGTTAAATACTGATATGCACACAGTGCCATCCTTGCCCTCCACAGCTGGATTTCCCAAGATGAATTTTCTTTGTTTACAGACTTCACTATTACATATGGAGCCCTTAACAATACCGGGCACAAGTGTAAGTAGTTGGTCCCATCCTGAGCTCTCTAGGGGGTCCCTCATGATGGCTGGGCTCTCATTGGCTGGGCTGTGATTGTCTCTCTTTGGCTGGGTTGTTGCTGGGAGAAATGGAAACATTCCTTCCTTCTGTTGGCACGGTAAAGTAGTAGCTAACGTTAGTGCAGACTTACACTGTTCATCTCTTCCTCTTGAGTCTGTTCATCTCTTCCTCTCCCTTTATTAATTTTCACACTATTCGTTTTTTTGTAAGCTCTGTACCCAATGTGGGGCTTGAACTCACAACCCCAAGAGCAAGAGTGGCATGCTCTACAGACTGAGCCATCAGGCAACCAATCTTTTTCTTTAAGAAAGGAAATTACACACATAATAACCTGTTTGTAAAAGCCCCTTCGTTATACATCTTTGTTTGTTTCCTGACTGCAGAACAGTGAGTGCAGTGTGTAGCTGTCTATAAAGTTTTCTTGTTGCTACAGAGCTGATCAGCCACCGTGACGTAACCTGAGATGTATTCTATGTTCCAGTGCAGAAGGTATGCGTACTTGGAATTTTCTGTATTTGTGCCTTTATAAATACCATACCCATCCCAGGTGTATGATTGGGTGATGGATGTAGTGGCCAAGGGCAAGTCTCCCCAAGATGGGCACTTTGGCCTGAAGATTATTTTGAGTTAAAAGCCAGCAAAACCCAGTAGGTTCAGGAAAAGCCCTTTACCTCCCCATCAGTGCCTAAATTCACATTGGGCGGGAGAGACTGTGTCAGAAAGAGGACTATTAATAGAGATTCCTCTTTACCTAAGAAATCTATCTGTATAACAGGGCCATCTTTGTTTTCCAAGCATCTTTATGGATTCTTCCCCTTTGTATCCACAGGCCTTATCCCTCTCCTTAGCTCATATAAGCCTCGTGTTGCCTGGCTGTCTTTGGAATCTCCTGTCTTTGTGGGGTCCCCATACGTACCAAACTAGATTTGATTTTCTCCTGGCAATCTGTCTTGTGTTGATGTGATTCTCAGTCTAGCTAGAAGGACCTTGAAGGGCAGAGGACTTTCTCCCCCCCTTCCCCACCATGGACATGGTCAGGCTCTGCAGTGATAATTGTAGGTTGCAGTTTATTAGTGAGCAAGAGTAAATGAGTAAATATGGCAACTTCTGACATGAAATACATTGCATATTAATGAAAGTTCACCTCAGAAGGAGGAGAATTTCATCCCTCAGGTGAAATGGACAGATTCCTAGAAAGTCACTGTAATGGGCTGAAGAAGAATTAGGAAATCTGAAAAGACCCATGCACTTAATAATTAAAAAGCTTCCCACAAAGAAATCTCCAGGCCCAGATGGCTTCATTTGTGAATTTTATCAAATATTTAAGGAATAAATAGTACCCATCCTTCACAGATCATTTCAGAAAATAGAGGGGGAGCGGAATCCTACTCATTCGATGAGGCCAGTATGTCCCTGATACCAAAGCCAAAGACATCACGAGAAAAACTACAGTCACATATTCCTCGTGAACACAGAGGACAAAAATATTAACAAACCGAATCCAGATAAAACAAATATATAAGAAAGATCAATCTCACTGGGATTTATCCCAGGAATGCAAGATTAGTTTAACATCCCAAAATCAAAAATAATTGTGTCCTTTTCCAGCACCAGTGATTTTCCAGCATCAACTGGATGTCAGACAAGGCAATTCAGTTCTGACACTAACTACCCAGAGTTAGTACAGGCCCCATAGCTTGAAGGCTCAGCCCCGGACAGCCCCCACTTCAGATCCCAGGCCCAAGTCTTGGCCGTCCCCACGGCTCCCACACTTCCGCCTGACTGAGCACAAATTCAGGGATTCCTACGACCCTTCCCTCAGTTTTGAGAATTCACTAGAGCAACTCACAGAATCAGGGAAGCCTATACTTAAGAGTGCAGTTTTCTTTTAAAGGATCCAACTCCCGGACAACCAAATGGAGGAGAAGAGCAAGGGCGAGGTGGGGTGGGAGGCGTGTTGCTTCCGAGTCCTGTCTGGGCATGCTGCCCTCCTAGCCCATTGATGTGTTCGCCAGCCTGGGAAGCTCCCTGAACTTTGTTCAGGAGTTTTTGGCAAGATTTTATGACGTAGGCACGACTGATGAAATCACGGGCGTCGGGGATTAACCAGCCTCCGGCTCCTCTCCCTGCTGTTGTCGGTAGAAGAGGTAGAGCTGAAGTCCCAATCCTCTAATCCTGTGGTTGGTTCCTCTGGGAATGACCCCCCTGTTCTTTTTTTTTTTTTTTTCTAAAATTTTTTTAATGTTTTATTTCTAAGAGAGAGGGAGACAGAGTGAGCAGAGGACGGTCAGAGAGAGAGGGAGACACAGAATCCGAAACAAGCTCCAGGCTCTGAGCTAGCTGTTAGCACAGAGCTTGACGTGGGGCTCGAACCCACCAACCGTGAGATCATGACCTGAGCTGAAGTGGGATGCTTAATCCACTGAGCCACCCAGGTGCCCCGAGCCCCCTGTTCTAAACTATGAGGGCGCCCCCTGAGTCCTCTCATTAGCAAAACCTCAGATATGATCCCCAGAGCCCCGTTTTGATAACAAAAGACATTTCTAGCACTCAAGAAATTCCAAGGGTTTTAGGGGCTCTGTGTCAGGGATGAGGGACAAAGACCAGATATATATACATTAAAGATTTTATTATAATTATCTTTTAATCTTTATTTTTGACAGAGAGAGACAGTGCGAGAAGGGGAGGCACAGAGAGAGAGAGGGAGACACAGAATCTGAAGCAGGCTTCAGGCTCTGAGATGTCAGCACAGAGCCCGATGTAGGGCTCAAACTCACAACCTCAAGATCAAGATCAAGAGTCACAAGCTTCATTCATTGAGCCAGAGAGGCACCCCCACCCCAGTATATATTTTTTAGTATGTCACAGTAATACACCATATAAATAAAATAAAGGATAAAAACTACATGATCATTCACACTACAGAAAAAGCACTTGACAAAATCCAATGCCATGATTAAAAACAAAGAAACAAAAACTAAGTACCTTTCATTAAAGTAGGAATAGAGAGTTTCTTCAACCTAATAGAGGCATCTATGCAAAAACCCACAGCTAACATCATGCTTAACATTCTTTCTCTAAGATCAAGATCAGGGTAAAATGTACATTTTTGCCACTTATGCAATAAGGACAAAAAAAAAAAAAAGACATCCAGATTATCAGAGGAAATTGTCCATCACAGGTAACATAATCTATGTAAATAATCCCAAGAACACACACAGAGACACATAAACCTACTAGCTACTAGAACTAATGAATTTAGCAAGGTCAGGATACAAGATCAAGATCACTATATAGACTGTATTTCCGTATACTAATACTGGGCAATCTGCAAAGGAACTAACACAATTTCGTTCATAATAACATCGGAAGGAAGAAAATTCTTAGTAATAAATGTAACAAAAAATAGAATTCTTATTTGCTAAAAACTACAAAGCATTGTTGAGAGAAATTAAAAATATAAATAAATGGAGAAAACTTCCATATTCAAGGGTTGGAAGGCTCAGTATTGTCAAGAAGGCAATTCTTGGGGCATTGGTCTGTAAATTCAGTGCAATCACTCTTAAAATCCCAGCTGGGTTTTTTTTTTTGTTTTTGTTTTTTTTTTCCGGAAATCAACAAGCTGACTTTAAGAATCGTAGGGAAATACAAAGAACCATTGGCAAAACAATGTTAAAAAAGAAGAACAAATTTGGAAGTACTTTCAATGTTTTATTTCAGACTTACTGTGAAGAAATCATTATCAAGACAGTGCAGTGTTGACGTAAGGATAGATCAAGGGGAGATCATTGAGAGTCCCGAAATCCTTACGTTTATGGTCAATTGATAAAGGTACTAAGATAATTCAAGTGGGAGAAGATGGTCTTTCCCATAAGTGGTGACGGGACAGTTGGATGGCCCCATGCAAAAGAGGTGAACTTAGAGGGGCGCCTGCGTGGTTCAGTTGGTTGAGCGTCTGACACTTGATTTTGGCTCAGGTCATGATCCCAGAGTCATGGGATTGAGCCCTGGTTGGGCTCCATGCTGAGCATGGACCCTGCTTGAAACTCTCTCCTCCTTCTGCATCCTCTCCCTTGCTTCCGCACTCTCTCTCTCTCTAATAAAATTAAAAAAAAAAATTAAAAAAGATGAACTTAGATATTGAGATACTTTCATGGCTGCCTCTGGTAGATTGTTCTACACAAATACTCTTACGTCTTCTTTTTTTTTTTAATTTTTTAAATGTTTTATTTATTTCTGAGAGAGAGAGAGAAACAGCGTGAGCAGGGGAGGGTCAGAGAGAGAGGGAGGGAGATACAGAATCCAAAGCAGGCTCCAGGCTCTGAGCTAGCTGTCAGCACAGAGCCTGATGTGGGGCTTGAACCCACGAACTGTGAGATTGTGACCTGAGTCGAAGTCAGACACTTAACTGACTGAGCCACCCAGGCGCCCCTCTTATGTCTTTTTTGTTAAAAAAAGAAAATGGAATTCAGGACACCAAGGGAAGATCTATTCCCTTGAAGTACAGTGAGGAGTGGATGAACACCACATTTATTGATGGAATTCGTGCTGGGCCATTAAGTATTTATCAATGAATACACATCGGGCCTCTCCAGCCTTTGTTCATATCCTCAGGATTGTTTTCTTTTCTTTGTAAATGTTTGTATTTTTTTTGAGGGGGTGGAGGGGCAGAGACAGAGGGAGAGATAGAACCCCAAGCAGGCTCCAGGCTCGTGTGGAGCCCAACATGGGGCTCAGTCCTGTGAACCGTGAGATCATGACCTGAGCTGAAACCAAGACTCAAGACACTTAACTAACAGAACCACGCAGGCGCCCCTGCTTTCTTTTTCTTTGGCCTGTTTATTTATTTTTTAAAAATTTTAATGCTTTATTTCTGAAAGAGAGAGAGAGCGTGAGCAGGGGAGGGTCAGAGAGAGGCAGACACAGAATCTGAAACAGGCTGCAGGCTCTGAGCCTGGCAGTCAGCACAGAGCCCAACATGGGGCTCGAACCCACAAACGATGAGATCATGACCAGAGCCGAAGTCGGATGCTCAACCGAGCCACCCAGGCGCCCCCTCTTTGGCCTGTTTAAACCCAGACCTGTCAACATGCATCAATTCCTGACCCAAACCAAGAGTAACCTGGGGAAAATTCGGACATCAGCTCTGCCTCGTGCAGATATTGGTAATGAAGGGACAGTAAGGCATTGGCCGCTGTATAGTGTGGGCACCACACACCCGCACGGGAGGGTAGCAGGAATTCGGTTCTGACTCGGTTAAGCTATGAGGGACATTCTTGCTTCCATAAGCATCATGCTTTCTCCTGGCTAAAACACACATGCCTTCCCCCCACGGCAGGGAGCGAATCTCCTTCCTTTTATTCCTAAAGATGCAAAATGGCCAGGTGAAGTTGTACGCTGAGTCAAGTGCAAGTCACAGAATTGCAGTGAGGACTCACCAGCTGAGTCAAGTTCGGGTTTGAACTGCATTTTCTCCTTTGCATTCTGTGTGGGGCAGGCCCCGAGGCCCTTTCCAGAGCCTGTGCCTTCTCTGGAATGAGGCTGCATTTACTGAACCCGACTTGGCAGAGCGTTTTCAAGTCCATTCTCACCTGAGCCTCCCCAGAACTCAGCACAGAAGTTCAGGGAGAGGGATCGGGGATTCCCATCTTAAGGCTGAGAACTGAGCCCTGGGCGGGCTTCCCTAGGAGGGTGGATGGGGTGGGCACACCCGGTTCAGCGTACACTTCTCCCCACTTGGCTTGGCCTGGGTGCCTCTGGACACAGCCTTTGAATCCCTTCTTGGCCTTTTGGCTAAGATCAGGTGTGAACACAGCCTTTGCCTGGGCGTCCGCTCCTCTGTTGGATTCATAGAAGTTGGATTCAGAACATAATGGAATCTCTTTTCTTTGATACAGTCCAAGAGGATTTAGTTACCGTGCCTCTCAGAGAAGCTTGTGGACACATTGCACTACCAGGATGTGGGGGGTATATCGTCACCTGAGGCCCGGTCTTACGGACGGTCCAGTAGAGCTGGGGAGTAATATAAGGAAAAGGGGGTCAGGAAGATTTCTGAAGCCATTTAGGAAGGAGTCCATTGTCTGAACCTCCCCGGTGCCTCGGAAATGAAGCTCGGGGCCGAGGCGCCAGGCAGGTATAGTGGTTCTGCGGGTCTGGCATTTGCTTCAGCTCCCAAATTATGCTCTTTTGTGCAGATTTTTTTTTTTTTTTTTTTTTTTTACCACTTGTCTCTCTGTGTTATTGGAAACTGCAAGCTATCCACAGTAAAGCCAATTGAAACCCAGTCAAGCCTGCAAGTATTAACACTCGGGCTTGAAAATAGGGAAAATGGCAGAGGCTGCTGAAGAAAGGTCTCATTGCGCTCTTTGCCAGTGTCGCCGTGGGGGTGAAGGATGACAAATGACCTCCGGGGATTGAGGGGGCAGGGGAGGGGGTGGGGGGTAGGCTGCAGAGTGGATTTCATTTCATGCAAAGAAAAAAAAATGAGATTAAAAATCTTTCTAGGCGGGGCGCCTGGGTGGCTTAGTTGGTTAAGCGGCCGACTTTCGCTTAAGTCATGATCTCGCGGCGGTTCGTGGGTTCGAGCCCCGCGTCAGGCTCTGTGCTGACTGCCAGCTCAGAGCCTGGAGCCTGTTTCAGTCTGTGACTCCCTCTCTCTCTGACCCTCCCCTGCTCACGCTGTCTCTCTCTCTCTCTCTCCTAGAAATAAATAAAACATTAAAAAAAAAATCTTTCTAGGCAACAGAGTACCTTCAAGTGTCTGCCCCGGGCAAGTAAAGCAGCAGTGACAGGGCAGAGCAGGGTCTGGGCGGCCTGGGGTGGGGGGGGTGCTCAGGGCCCAGGGCGTTTGGAAGGTGGGAGTCACAGAGAAATGCAGTGTGGCTTGGGGGTTGGGGAGTGCTGGCTTCCCCCGCCCTGTGTCTTCAGCCCATTGGTGGATCTGAATTATCTCTCCCAGCCCGTTGGCCCAGAGGAGTGTGAGGCATCTTTCCCTCTTGTGACCCAGAGACCCGCCCTCGAACGTGTCCTTTTCGAGATTTCTAGAACATGGTTTCTCAGCCCTGGCCCCTTTGACATCTGGGCTGGATCATTCTGTGTACTGGGGCCATTCAGTACAGGACATGGAACTATCTCGGCCTCCACCCACTGGGTGCCAGTAGCGCCCCCCCCGCCCCCGCGCCCCCCATCAGGGGTGACAACCCAAAATATGTCCAGACATTGCCAAATGTCCCCTGTGGGGCAAAGCAGTCCCTAACCCTTTGCACTCCACCTCTGTTCTACAAGGAGGCAACAACGAGCTGAGGCTGAACGCATTCTGGCGTTGGAAGGGGCTGCCTTGCTGAGAAGGGGCCAAATTAATCTCGTTGAGTAAAATTATCTCCAGATAATCTGTCACTTAATAGTTTGGTGAATGCGGCACACAGAATAACGGTTACCCAAAGACTGAATCCCCAGGATCTGTGAAGACGTCAGTCCACACTGCAGAAGAGATTCCGCAGCAGAGATGAAGCTAAGGATCTTGAGATCAGACGATGGTCCTGGGTGATCTGGACGGGACCCCTGTAATCTCAGAGTCCCTGTAAGAGCGAGGAGGCAGGAGGCTCAGAGCCAGGAAAGGAGAAGGATGTCAGAAGCAGAGGTGAGTGAGGGGGAGAGAAAGAGGGGGAGAGGGGTAAGATTCTACACAGCTCGTCCTAAAGATGCAAGAAGGGTGCCGTGAGCCAAGAAACAGCCCTAAGAAGGTGGAAAAAGCAAGGACACAGACTCTCTTCAGAGCCTCGGGAAGGAACACAGCCCAGCGCATACCTCGATGTTAGCCCCGCAGGACCCATTTCGGACTTCCCACTGCCGGAGCTCTAAGAGAATAAATTCGTGTTGTTTGGAGCCACTATGTTTGTGGCAATTTGTTACAGTGGCCCCAGAAATGAATGCAATGGGTGCCCCTTGTGGTCTAGCAGGGCCACGGCATCTGAGGGTGGGGGCACACCCCGGTTTTCTGCACCGGTTCCGTTTGCTGGCGAGTCCCCTCTGTCCCCCCCTCCCCTCCCTGGTGCCTTGGCCACGAGCACCCAGCAGCCACATCTCTGTTGGGGCCCCTGGGACTTGTCTTCCTGAGAGTCGGCACTCCGGGGTCTCAGATGCAGGTTGGGTAGTGTAAATGTGGGGGCCTTCTCTCTACCATGGGGGTCAGACTGTGCAAAAACTTCCCGATTTCATACATTCGTTAAGTTTTACTTTAAGTTTTTAAGAAAATATTTTAATAGACAAACTTTTAGAGCAGTTTTTGGTTGATAGCAAAATGGAGTGGAAAGTACTAGAGAGTTCGTATATATCCCTCCCCCCCGCCCCAGACTATCGACATCCCCACCAGAGGGTGTGTTTGTTACAGTCAAGGAGACTGCACGGAGGGGTTGTCGTCACTGCCCAAAGCCCGCAGTTATCACTGGGGTCTGTTCGCTCGGTGCTGCGGGACCCCTGGGTCGGCACACGCGCACGATGGCGTGTGTCACCGCACCATCATTGCTTGGCAGATATTTGGTGTCATGGAGCCTCACCCGGCGCCTGCAGCTTTGGGGAGTTAGCTATTAAATATTCATTTTTTTGTTATAAGGAGGAACCGGAGGGAGAACGCAACCAGGTCAGTGGAAAATCCTCCCAACTTTATGAAAATATACCTGTATATTTTCCTTTCTTCCTTTCTCCTTCCTTCCCTCCCTCCCTTCCTCCTTTGTTTCTTTTTTCTTTGTTTCTTCCTTCTTTTCTTCCTTTTTCTCTTTCTTTTCTTTCTTTTTCTTTCCTTTCTCCTTCCTCCCTCCTTTCTTTCATTTTCTTTCTTCTTTCTTTCTCTTTCCTTCCTTTCCCTCTTTCTCTTCTTTCTTTCTTTCTTTCTTTCTTTCTTTCTTTCTTTCTTTCTTTCAAGTTTATTATTTATTTTGAGGGGGGTACAGAGAGAGAGGGAGAGAGAGAATCCCAAGCAGGCTCCACATTATCAACACAGAGCCCAGCGAGGGGCTTGATCTCATGAACCGTGAGATCATGACCTGAGCCAAAATCAAGTCAGTCAGTCAGTCAGTCACTCAGCCAACTGACCCACCCGGGTGCCCCACAGCTGTCATACATTAGGGAGGAAATGTCACAGAGCTCTGCTGTCCCAGAACTTTAGAGCTTGGCAGATGTGAGATACAGATGAGGCCTGCTCCACTGGAACAAGGCGGCGTGTGCCCAGGTAGCCCGCCTGGGCTGCAGGTCCTGCCTGGCGCAAGGCCAGGCTCCAGATGCCGGAGCGGGGGCCAGGTGCTCTCTCCCTAGGCCCTTCCTCCTGAGATTGTTGCTTAGTCTGATGGGCACATGAGGAACCTGGGTCTGGTCCATCCTGGGGACCCGGGAAGCAGGTCATGGACTCTCTGAGACCGAATTTCCTCACCTGAAAATGTGCTGTGAGCACGATGGCGTGGAGGGCTTCTGTGACCCAGGACAGACTCTGACTTGGACGCAGGGTCCCACGTCCCTGGACACCAAATAGCACCAGGCCATAGGGGGTAGCTTCAGATGAATTCCCAGCGCTTGGGCCAAGTTGCAGCCGAGGCCCCCGGCCCCCGAGTCCGGCAGTGTGAGCAACACGGTCAGGGGCGGTCGGCCCGGGGCTCTTTCCAGCTGGGGGTCTGTAGGGATGACGGTGCCCGTGTGCACGCTTGCAGGGGAGACATCTGCAGGGGCAGAAAGGGGGCGCCTGCCCTTGGCCCCCTGCCCTGGGCATCTCGCCCTTGCCATCGGCCTCTGTGTGCCCGGAGGTCGGGGCCTCCTCTCGCCTGGCTAACGCCCAGGGCAGGGGGGGGGGAGGAGGCGAGCAGGCACACGCCAACGCACTGCGAGCCCTGCTCGGCCCTCCCCTAACGCGAAGCTTTCTCTGCGCGGTTCTGGCGCCGCTTACACCATCTCCTCCTTTGCATTCATGCCAGTGTCTGTCCTTAGTGTGTGGCCTGTGTCCATTTTCTGACGTGCCCGTCTATATCCCTGAGTTCCCGGATTGTCCGGATCTCTCATCCCCTCCTTGAAAGGCACGGATGACCCAATGTGTGGAAAATTGAAAACCTTTCCACATAATACTCTTTTCAAAGTGTTTTTGCCCAAGAACGTAGTAACATGCAGGCTCCAGTAAGGGTGGCTCGCTTAGTTCTTGATGCCCTTGACCTAGGAAGAAAATACAAGCAGAAGAGCTGGACAGTAACATTTGAAATCAATATGTAAACTCATTTTAAACCAAGTCTGTTTCTCCCCAGCTCTAGAATATTCTTAGAAAGCACAGGAGAACAGGAATATGTGTATTTTGCTTCGGAATGTTTCCTGTTGCTGCCCATTGCCACGGGGGGGCTAGAGGGCTGAATGTGGGCTCAAAGGAGGGCCCTAATCCACCGTCATCACGTTTACGGTGGAGCACTCACGCCCAAGGAGAAAGTCAGCGGCCTTTCCTAGCCCTCTGTGCTCTCGGAGGACCCCTTGGCTTTCTTACTGAACACAGCACGGGAGCCCTTAGGCTGGCTCCAGGGGCCCTTTGTCCGCTCCCCTCACCTGCTGTCACAGCGTCCCTCAGCACTTGCCCGAAGAAAGACTCGGCTGCCACCCACCTTTAGCTGCGCTGGGACCTAGGTGACTTTCTCTTTTTTTCAGGATAAGCCATCTTTTTTTAGGTGTTTGTTTATTTTTGAGACAGAGAGAGACAGCGTGAGAGGGGCAGGGGCAGAGAGAGAGGGAGACACAGAATCCGAAGCAGCTCCAGGCTCTGAGCTGTCAGCACAGAGCCCCACCGGGGGCTTGAACCCACGAACCTCGGGATCATGACCTGAGCCAAAGACGGATGCCCCACTGATTGAGCCACCCGGTGCCCTGAACCAGTTACCCTTCTGTAGTGGGTTGAATAGTGACCCCCCCAAAGATATTCTGTGTCCTGGCCCCTGATAGCTGTGAATGTGACCTTACACGGAAATAGCGTCCTGGTGGATGTAACTGAGGATCTCAGGATGCACTCACCTTGGATTTAGGGCTCCGAATCTGACAGCTGGTTCCTTCTAAGAGAAAGGAGGGGAGTGAGACCCAGGGACCCAGAGGGGAAGGCGTGGGAAGGCAGAGGCAGGATCGGGAGCGATGCACCCACCAGCCACAGGACGGCAGCGATTGCCCGTACTCCCTGGGAACCAGCAGACAGGCCTGGAACAGACTCTCCCTCGGAGCTTCCAAAGAAAGGGGCCTGGTGACAGTTTGACCTCACACTCCTGGCCTTCAGAACCACGTGAGAACGCATTTCTGTGGTTTTGAGCCCCCTGGTTGATGGCGTTTTGTTACCAGAAATGTGCCCTGGCAAGATGATTCCACCTCCCTCACCTCAAGCCCTCACAGTGGGGGCTGTCCGCAGGCTCAGCTCGGGTGACTGTCCCCGGGCCAGGGTGTGCCTTTCTTTCCTTCACCGGCTGGGTCCCTGTTGTTTTCTCCTACTTTGTCCTCAGTTCTCTGAGCAGATTTATTTATTTGGAGAGAGAGGGAGACAGAAAGAATCCCAAACAGGCTCTGAGCTGTCAGCACGGAGCCCGATGTGGGGCTCAAACTCACAAACCATGAGATGATGACCTGAGCCAAAGCCAGGAGTTGGGCGCTTAACCCACAGCGCCACCCAGGCGCCCCTAGAATTGACTCTATCTTTTGATAACTTCTCAGCTTTCGGTAATTGCTTGGTCCCGGACTGTTAGGGAGAGAGGCTGGGAGCCCGTAGGCCCTCCTGTGGGAGCAGGTGACAGGGCAGCGTCGTCGCAGAGGGTGCCGGCTGGGGTCCTCTGGCACAGGTGAGCCCCTCTCGGAAGGACACTCTCTGCTCCCTCTCCTGCTCTGACCTGGGGCTGAGCTCTGAGCCAACAGGGAGCCCTTCTTCTCTGAGATGCCTTCTCTGAGTTGACAGTGACAGGCCTGAATGGAGGGGATTGAAAAGGCCCAGGTGTGGGTCTTGGGAGGCTTCCCACCCTCCCCCACTCTCCCAAGCTGCCCCAGGAAGCTCCATGTGGGCAAGATGAAGGCACCAGGAAGTATCTTCCCCTTCACTCCCTGAACAAAATCAAGTGTCTGGACTTGGGGGGCGGGGAGAGGGGCATAAGAGGCAGCTGACGCTTCTTACCCAAGATTCTAAGAGGAGCTCTCCCTGTGGATATGGTCTCTCTAGCTTCTCACCTTGTAGGACTGGAATCGGTTTTATTTTTATTTATTAAAAAATTTTTTTACTGTTGAGAAAGAGAGAGTGAGCAGGGGAGGGGCAAAGACAGAGGGAGACACACAGAATCTGAAGCAGGCTCCAGGCTCTGAGCTGTTAGCACAGAGCCCGCTGTGGGACTCGAACTCACAAGCCATGATATCGTGACCTGAGCCGAAGTTGGACACCCAACCAATTGAGCCACCGAGGCACCCCTGCGATGGGTTTTATTAAGGGGGACGGCAGGTTCCTGACACACAGGCACCCTGGGGCCTCGGGAAGGAAGGAAGGGCGGAGTGCAGTCAGCATTAAGCTGAGAAAATGGGCTTGCTCACACCCACCTGCAATTGCTGCAGAATGAGCTAGAAAGCAGAACTTAATTAGAAAGTACAGACTGAGGTCAGAAGGGAGGTGGTTGAAGCCCTCGTTCAGCACTGCGTGGTTGAGGGGACTCAGGGACAGGCAAACCTTGCTTCAAATTGATGAGGGAGCCTGAAGCCAGCAGACACCCCACAAACGACCCCCCCCCATAGGTGTGACAGCCCTCAGGCCCTCCTGGCTGCCCAAGGACAAAGGAAAGGGAAAGAAAACCACTGGTTAATGGATAGAGGTCACAGTCATGCAGGCCCTGAGTCTCCATCAGTTTACAAATATTTCAGTAGTAAACAACAAGAAAAAGGTAATCTTATCAATAGGCTAATCTCCAGGAACTCCCTGCCGGGTCTTTAAGATAATGCTTTGCTAGAGGAAAAAACAACTTGACAATAGTTGGGCCTCCAGGAATCTGTCTTCTTTAGTATGGAAATCCCTTTAAGAAGCTTCCTCTTGACTATATCTCCCCCAACTCCAGAGTATATAACCAGTCACTCTGCACAAGGCCACTGCAGCCCTTCCTGCCCCCGGTCCTGTCCCCTGTCCCTGTGCTTTAATAAAATCATCTTTTCTTGCACAGAAGATGTCTCGGAGAATTCCTTCTTGGCCATCGGCTCCGGGATCCCCCACCCCCACCCCGTCACCCCAAAAGCTCATCAAAATCATACTCTGCCACTTCCTCGATGTCATCCTGGGCAAGCGGGTTAACTTCTGGGGGCCTCCGTTTTATCTGCAACACTGGAGAATGGTCGCTTCAGTGTCATTGTGTCCATTGCCCAGTGAGGCTATAATGAGGCGTGAGGCCACCTTGCACAAAATGTCTCATTCATCTCGCTTTCCCAGGTGACGGAGCACATTGACAAGTATACACCGAGGTTGAAACGCGGCTGATCCTTCCTGACGGTGGACTTTGCCACGGGATCCCAAGATGGGTCAGGAAGGGCCGGGTCCAGATGGGAAGGGTGGCGGGGTCACCCTTGGCTGCGGCCCCCAAGCTCCGGATCCAGCAGATGAACAGCAGGTGGGTTTCTGTCCCTATTCTGTCTCATTTTCTGATGCTGGAGACAGCTGACCGCCCACTCAGCATCATTTAAAGCTACGTTCAGAGCCTGTGGCCTTCAGGGCACTTCACTGTATGCCCAGAAGACATTATGTCAGAGTCCCGCAGGGCCTTTGCAGCCACCTGCTTCACCCTCTTTCTTGCCGCTGAAAACACGGTGCAGTGAGATGACCACAGAGGCCACCTGCTGGGCCTTACGGAAGCAGACACCGAGGAGAGAGGGGGCGGACTCCCCTCCTTGGAGTATGAGCCTGGGTATTAGGACAAGAACAATGGAGGAGGTGGGTGTTGGCAGGTGGCAGGAAGGGTTCGGAAAACCTGGCATTCCCACCTCCATGCCTTGAGGGCTTTCGAGGAAATATATGTATGTATATATGTGTGTGTATATATATATATATATATATTTTTTTTTTTTTTTAGAGAGACGGAGACAGCATGAGTAGGGGAGGGGCAGAGAGGGAGAGAGAGAATCCCAAGCAGGCCCAGCACTGTCATCACAGAGCCCGACATGGGGTCGAACCCATGAACCTGTGAGATCATGACTCTTGAGCTGAAACAAAGAGTCAGAAGGCTCTGGGGTGCAGCGCTGTCTACACTCTGGGGTTGGGCTTCTCTGGGTGAAGGGGCTCCAGGGGCTGCTGGTCAGAGGGGATTTCAAGACCAATACTCTGCCCTTGATACTGCTTGGATATGTTGTATTTTTAATTAATTTCTTCTTCTTCTTCTTCTTTTTTAATGTTTTACTTATTTCTGAGAGAGAGACAGCATGAGCAGGGGAGGGTCAGAGAGAGAGGGAGACACAGAATCCGAGCTCTGTGCTCTGAGCTAGCTGTCAGCACAGAGCCCGACGCTGGGCTTGAACCCACGAACCATGAGGTCATGACCCAAGCTGAAGTCGGATGCTTAACTGACTGAGCCACCTGGGCGCCCCTATATTGTATTTTTAATTGAGCATGTCGTACTTTTAGGATGAAAACAAAACAACCCTCGATTAAAAAATGTTTATTTAAAAAGTCAAATTACTTGCACAGCATTGTGAGTATACTAACCGGCACTGGATGGAGCACTTGAAAATTGTGTGAATTTCATCTCAACAAAAGCATTTTTTTTTAACATGGAGGGATGTTACCATAGACTGAAAAAGATTAAAGAGTAATCCAATGAAATTAATAAACCTAGAATAGACACCAGTTTGAAAAGAAGTAGTTATAATAGACGTTGTTGGGAAATTTTAAACATGTAGCTAGGACTAGACGTTAGCTGAGTAGGTAGATCATTAGATGAGGTTATGACATTACTGTTAACTTTCTAACGTACGATTACGGTCTTTTGACTGTATTCGAAATCGTCTTTATAATCGATTATATACACGAAACGCGTACACTGTATATGAAATTGTCCTTATACTTTGAAGACTTCTGTTGACATCGTTAGGGGTGAACTGTCCCGACGTTTCCCACAGACTCTGAAATTGTGCTGCAAAAACATAGGAGAAAAATAAAGTACATGTGGCAGAGTGCCCAAAAAAGGTCAAATCGTTCTTTTGACGACTTCTCCCGAACATCCTCCATATTCTGCAGCCTGCCCGACCTGCGCGTGCACACATGTGCGCACTCAGCACGTGGCTGGACGCACGGACAAGGACACACGCATAAAACGTACGCGTGTGAACACATGCACGCACGCACGGACGTGCACACATGAGGACACATGGACGAGGACACACGCACAAACGTATGCACGTGAACGCCTGCACGTGGACGCATGCACACACGCGGACACACACTAGTGCGTGGATGCACCTTCACACACGCACGCGCGGACGCACGCATGCGCACACCTGCCCGTTCCCGCGGCTCCCGCACTGACGGCTCCTCCATGGTCATGGTCAAGCGCGGCTGCAGCCCGTCCTGCGATAGCGCTGATCTGCTCAGGCTCCGTCCGAGTCTGACGCAGCCGCTCTGGACCCGTCCACCGCTGCCTGTCTCCAAGCGCTGCCTCCAGCCTCCTAGCACTCCCTCCAAGGGGGGCCCCTTCTCCCCTTGGTTCCCCAGCTCAGCACCAGCCTGCCTTCCCTTTGTGGCCTCGGTTTCCTCGGTGCCGGCCAGCCGAGGGGGGCCCCTTCTCCAGGCGTCTGGAGGGCCACCCGTCCATCCATTCCTGGCCTCTCACACGGGTGCGACTGGGGAGGGGGGCGCATTAGTGTCCGGGGGCTACGGTTACAAAGTACCCCAAACGCGTGGCCTGAGCAACGGGAATTTATTCTCTCACAGTTCTGGAAGGCACACAGCAAAATCAGCAGAGCCCGGCTCCCCTCCAGGACTCCAGGGGAAGGTCTTCCTTCCTGCCTCTTGCAGCCTTTGGTGGGCGTAGGCTGTCCATGGCTTCCTGCCGAGCCCTTCCAGGCTCTGCTTCCATCTCCTCCTTCCCAAGTCTCCCTCTGCCTTTCTTACAAGGACGCTTGTCACTGGATGTGAGCCCAGCTGGATAATTTAGGAGTATCTTGAGACCCTTACTTAATGATGTTTGCAAAGAACCTTTTTGCAAATAAGGACACGTGCTCAGTTTCCAGGAGGTGGAGGCATTTGGTGGAAGTGACCACCAGGGAAGTGAGTGTGCACTCGTGAGCAGCCCCTGCTGAATCTGAGCTGTCCTTCCCTCTGTTGCTCTGAAACCCTGTCGCGGAGCTGGCTGGGTGTCACCGGAAGCCGGCTGTCTGTGGAGGGCGGCGAGACTGAAGAAAGAGGATGGCCACTCCAGGTTGACAGGTGGCAGTTGTAATAAGCAAAGCAAAGGGAACTTCATGAGAGGTTGTCTGGGGCGGTAAGATGAATGGGTCCCTGTACCCACCTGTCACATCTTAGAAGTTTATAAAGAGGCAGTGCCTGGGTGGCTCAGTTGATTGAGCATCGGACTTGGGCTCAGGTCATGATCTCACCGTTCGGGAGTTGAAACCCCGCATCGGGCTCTCTGCTGTCTCGCAGCGCCTGCCTCGGATCCTCTGTCTCCCTCTCTCTGCCCCTCCTCTGCTCTCTCTCTGTCTCTCTCGCTCACAAAAATAAGTAAACATGAAAAGAATTTACAAAAACGTTTATAAGGAGGCCTTAACTGGGTTCAGGCGTATGTAGTGTGCAGGTGGCCTCAATACCACATCAGGATCTCATCTGTCCTGGGAGGGGCCAAGACAAGCAGAACCCACGTTCTAAGGACAGGAGTCAGGGTGCGGAGCCTCTGAGTGCCTGGGTTCAAGCTCAAGGGTTAATTGGCCGTCACATGTTTTTGATGACCTTCCCCAGCACCTTGCCAGGACCCCCTGAAAGGTGGCCCGTCCAAGCACCTGGCGTCCTCTGTCACATCTGCAGTGGTACCCAGACCTGGGTGGGCCTCGCCTCTACCCCTCACTGGCCGCCTAGCGACGCTGAGCGACGTAGGACTCGTCTGGGCTTTGGCAGGCTCAGCTGCACCCTGATCGCAGACTGGGGGCGAGGAGGGGTTGACCGGGACGGAGCATCGGCAGGTGCACGGTGCCTCTTCTGCGGGGAGCGAGTCCTCCAGACGAAGGCGAGCATGACTTCTTCCTCTCCCCGCTCTGCTCTCAGTGTGAGACAAGGGGGTGGGAGGTGAGGCCCAGCGTTCCCGAAGCCCCCGGTCTGCAGCTCAGAGCAGCCTCATCCGTTCAGTGTGGCCGAGGGTTTCTTCCTGTGAAGTCTCTATTTGCAGCCCCGGCATGGAGCGCTGGGTAATGAGGCTTGGCACCTGCTGTTTGCTGGCCGGGGTGAATGTGCCTGTCTGCTGATGAAATTCTGTGTGGATTAATTAAAACGGGAGAAAAGCATCTCTCCTGAATTATTTACCGGCTTCCAGGGGGGCAAACATTCATCGTGGCATCTTATTATTGACACGCGAGAGAGCCTCTCTTTTGGGGGTGCTGTTCCAAGCCTGGGGTTTGGGGTCGGGCAGCGGGGGGCGGGGGGAGAAGCCGCTCCCTTCTGTGGTTTTGAACAGCTTCATCTCAGGAAGCCTCAGGATGGTCATTTGTCTCATCAGAGGGGTGCTTAATCCGTAACGCTGGAAGGGAAATGCCCTTCATGAGGCCGGCGGGACGCTGTAGAAAGTCCCTCCCACGGAGCCTCATCTTCCTTTCTTTCTCCCCCACCCCCAGCACCACCCCCAAGAGGGCCCACCTTTTCCAGGGAGGCCCCCTGAGGCTGCGCTGTCACCCCAGTCATGCTCCGGGGGAAGTGACTCAACTGTGCCCAGCGCAGGTCTGGGTGCGAGTGTGGGTCCCCATGGGCTTCTGGGCAGCGAGTGCCCAGCACTCTGGGTGGTGTGTGCTGCTCCGTTGTCTGGCTGCGGAGAACCAGCGTGAGCGTCCTGACCATCGTCTGTGTGCACGTTTGCAGAGCGCTTCTCTGCTGTGGGTGCGGGAGAGGTGGTGCCAGGCCACGCCAGCCCCTCGCCAGCGACTCCCCCTGCCTTCAATCACTCTCGGCACTGGGAAGAGTCAAGGACACTGCTCTGAATCTTTAGGTTGGCCCTTCAGTCCCGAAATGATTCTTTTTTTAAATTTTTAAAAAATTTTTTATAAACAAATTTTTTAATTTTTTAAAAAAAATTTTATTTCTGAGACAGGGAGAGAGACAGCATGAGCAGGGGAGGGTCAGAGAGAGAGGGAGACACAGAATCCGAAGCAGGCTCCAGGCTCTGAGCTGTCAGCACAGAGCCCAATGTGGGGCCTGAACCCATGAACCGTGACATCATGACTTGAGCCGAAGTTTGTAGCTTAACTGACTCAGCCACCCAGGCGCCCCGGTGGCGGTGGCGATCTCTTTTTAAGACAGACTGTTGTTATGTTAACACTCCTGCCTTAAAAAAAAAAAACTTACTGCCTTAAAAAAAAAACTTACTTTCAGGATGATGGGTACTCACAGGTGTCACCAGGGATACAGACTTAATCCTAAAGCTGGTGGGGCCTGCCTGGCCCAGGGGAGTCCCTCTGGGTCTGGGCAGATCAGATGAGGCCACTCTCTCCTTTCTGGGTTGATGCCTGCAGCCGCCTGGCCACAGGAGGAGGACAGTGTCCGGGGTAATTTGGCTTGGAGCTGAGTTTAATGAAATGTTGAGGAGTCTGTTTTGCGGGCTGATTCTTCTCATGCATTTAAGATATGCAAATTCAAATTATCCTTAAAAGCTTGAATTAGAACGAGAAATAATGTGCCCACAATAAGCAGGGTGGGCGCCTCTTTGGCCGCCACTTGAAGTTCTCCGAGACAGGCTGCGATTTAGGTGGGAGAGGAAGAGAGTCCTCAGAGGGGAGTCGGACTAGCCAGGCTTCCTGGCTTCAGAAATCCGAGAGCAAAGGATATCTGCCTTCCTCACCTCCTTTCCTCTTGCCGCAGGCCAAGTAATTCCTCTGACTTTGGAAGAATTTGGAAAGTTCCATTAAAAATTTTTTTCGGGGGGTTCCTGGGTGGCTCAGTCGGTAAAGCGTCTGACTTCGGCTCAGTTCATGATCTTGCGGTTCGTGGGTTCAAGCCCCGCGTTGGGCTCTGTGCTGACAGCCAGCTCAGAGCCTGGAGCCTGTTTTGGATTCTGTGTCTCCCTCTTTCTCTCTGACCCTCCCCTGCTCATGCTCTGTCTCTCTCTCTCTCTCTCTCAGAAATAAATAAAACATTAAAAATTTTTAAAAAATTTATTCTGTCCTGATATTCATTTATTTTTGAGAGACAGAGATGCATCCGTTGGATGCTTAACCAACGGAGCCACCCAGACACCCTTCTCTTCCCTTTCCTGAACAAATATATATTTAAAGCAATTCAGAATCCAGGGAATTCAAAGCACATGCTAAATTCAGTTTAACTAAAGGGGACTCCCGGGAATGGCCACTTCTGGTCAGGACCCTTGGTCAGACTCTACTTCCACTCTCTGCCCTACCCCCAACAATCTGTTGCTCCTTGAGGGAGCTCCACCCAACCAGAGGAAGTCTCTGGTTCTTCTGGGAGTGTGATGTGGTAGAAAGTACATGGCTTTGGGATAGGACAGACCCTTTGGGATCCTGGCCTCGTGACTTCCAAACTGTGAGACCTCAGTTTTTCCATCTGTAAAATGGGGGATAGTACGACTTACTAGTGAGGTTATGTGATGATTAAATAATTTATGCAGAGAGGAATTACAGACATATCATGGCCATGTGAAATAGCAGTTCCCTGCTCTCTTTTCTCTGTCCCCCAGACTAAAGTCCCTCTGCTTGGCAATTTATTACAGGAGCACCTCCCTGCAAGTGGTGATGCTATGGGCGGGCAGGACCTTCTGCCGCAGGGGGCCCTGCTACATGACAGAGTCCCCTCCCCAGTGCCAGCCCTAGTCCATTCATTCCTCTGCAGTGACTCACGCAGCCAGGCAGCCTCCCTGGTCCCTTGTAGGGGGGATGGTGGCGAAGGAGCCTTACAGAGTGTTTTGGCCAGATTATGTTCCCCCAAACTCACAAAGGAGGGTTCACCCCGAGTGTGATGGTATTTGGAGATGGGGTTTGGGGAGGTAATTTGGTTCAATGAGGTCGTGATGATGGAGTCTCCCTGATGGGGTCAATGCCCTTGTAAAAGAGATACCAGAGAGCTTGCTTTCTCTCTGTATCCTGTGAAGACCGTGAGAAGCCGGACACCCCCAAGCCAGGGAGAGGATTCCCATCAGAACCCGACCTCGCCGGCACCCTGGTCTCAGACTTCCAGCCTCCATGACCGTGAGAAAATAAATTTCTGCTCTTTAAGCCACTCAGTCTGTGGGATTTTGTTACGGCAGCGGAGCAGACAGCCTTCCTGACTGTTCCTCTGGAAGCTTCTGCCTTGCATGGTGGGTGCTACCTCTGTCATCCCAGGGCCTCTGTGGACTCCGGGGTGGGGGTGGGGCCGGCGTGGGCAGGTGGCACCCCTGCTCGCTGTGCCCTGGGGAACTTGTTCCCCACCCCCACGTGGCCAATCAACTCT